CCAAGGCGCGAATGTGCTGACTGTTTGTTTGATGACAGGAGATACTTCGTCTTGTCCTCGTTTACCACCAGACCCATGCGCTTTGCTTCCCTATCCAACTTGGAAAAGGCAGAACAGACTTCGCGGTTTTTGTTACCGATGATGTCGATGTCATCGGCATAAGCCAGCAATTGCACGCTCTTGTAGCAAATTGTTCCTGAGCGGTTCAGTTCTGCAGCTCTTATTATCTTCTCCAACATCAGATTAAAGAAGTCACATGAAAGGGAGTCGCCCTGTCTGAAACCCCGTTTTGTGGCGAACGGCTCGGAGAGGTCTTTTCCAATTCTGACGGAGCTGGTGGTATTGCTCAACGTCATTTTACACAGCCGTATGAGTTTTGAGGGGATGCCAAATTCAGACATAGCGGCGTATAGGCAACTCCTTTTAGTGCTGTCAAAAGCGGCTTTAAAGTCGACAAATAGGTGGTGAGTGTCGATCCTTTTCTCGCGGGTCTTTTCCAAGATTTGGCGTATTGTGAATACCTGGTCTATGGTGGATTTGCCAGGTCTAAAGCCACACTGATAAGGCCCAATCAGTTCATTGACGGTGGGCTTCAGTCTTTCACACAATACGCTCGATAAGACCTTGTAACCTATGCTTAGAAGGCTAATCCCGCGGTAGTTGGCGCGAATGGCGGGGTCACCTTTCTTGTGGATTGGGCAGAGCACACTTAAATTCCAGTCGTCGGGCATGCGTTCATCTGACCATATTCTGCACAAGAGTTGATGCATGCACCTTATCAACTCCTCGCCGCCGTACTTGAATAGCTCAGCTGGCAGGCTGTCAGCTCCAGCGGCTTTGTTGTTTTTCAGCCGCGTTATTGCTATACGTACCTCGTCATAGTCAGGCGGTGGAACGTCGACTCCGTCATCATCGACTGCGGGCTCGGGTTCTTCTTCTCCACAACTTTCCGTGCTGCTACCATTTAGTAGGGCGGAAAAGTGTTCCCTCCATAATTTAAGTACGCTCTGGACATCAGTTACTAGGTCGCCATTATTGTTCTTACAGGAGTGCGCCCCGGTCTTTAAACCTTCCGTAAGTCGCCTAACTCTCTGGTAAAATTTTCGGGCATTCCTCCTGTCGGCCAGCATTTCAAGCTCTTCGCACTCACGTATTTCTGCCTCTCTCTTCTTGTTGCGGCAAATACGTCTCGCTTCCCTCTTCAGATCCCTATAGCGGTCCCACATAGCGCGCGTTGCGCCCGATCGCAGCGTGGCCCTGTAGGCGGCATCTTTTTTCTCTGCAGCTTCCTGACACTCCTCATCGTACCAGTTGTTCTTTCGGGCTCGCTGAAATCCGACTACTTCTTCGGCGGCGGTACTTAATGAGCGGGAAATGTGGTTCCACTGCTCGCATATGTCGGTTTGTTGAAGAGTGCTCTCTGAGAGCAGGTGTGAGAGTCGAGTAGCGAAAGCGCTGGCTGTCTGTTGTGATTGCAGCTTTTCGACGTTAAGCTTTCCTTGCATATTTGGGCGCACATTTTTTGCTGCACAGAGGCGGGTGCGTATCTTGGCTGCAACAAGATAGTGGTCCGAGTCGATGTTTGGGCCTCGGAGTGTGCGTACGTCTAAAACACTGGAAGCGTGCCTTCCGTCTATCACAACATGATCGATTTGGTTTCTCGTTTTTCGATCCGGAGACAGCCAGGTAGCTTGATGGATCTTTTTATGCTTGAACCTAGTACTGCATACTACCATGTTTCGGGCCCCGGCGAAGTCGATCAGCCTCAATCCGTTGTCGGACGTTTCGTCGTGGAGGCTGAATTTTCCGACGGTGGTTCCAAAGATCCCTTCTTTGCCCACCCTGGCATTGAAGTCGCCAAGCACGATTTTGATATCATGACGGGGGCAGCGCTCGTACGTGCGCTCCAAGCGCTCATAGAAGAGATCCTTGGATGCCTCATCCTTCTCTTCCGTCGGGGCATGGGCGCAGATGAGCGAGATGTTGAAGAATCTCGCTTTGATGCGGATTGTGGCTAGACGCTCGTCCACCGGGGTGAACGACAGTACTCGGCGACGGAGTCTCTCTCCCACCACAAATCCAACTCCGAATTTGCGCTCCTTTACATGGCAGCTGTAGTAGACGTCGCAAGGCCCCAGACATTCTTTGCCTTGCCCCGTCCAACGCATTTCTTGGATGGCGGTGATGTCAGCTTTTGTCCTTACGAGGACATCAACCAGCCGGGCAGAGGCACCTTCCCCATTAAGGGTCCGGACATTCCAGGTGCATGCCCTCAAATCGTAGTCCTTTAAACGTTTGCCGTGGTCGTCATCATAAGGGGGGGTCTCATCCGAGGCTTTGCCTTGCTTCTTCACTGGAAGTGGTTTTTACGTGGCGGGTCCCAAGCCCAGCGCACAACCCATTGCTGGGACGGGGGTGGTTTCGCAACCAAATACACGTTTATATAGCGAGCCGCTTGCTCCAAGCAGACACCCGCTTGCAGCCGCACCTACTGGTGAACAGACGCTGCAGACTTCAGTGAGCCCTTAAACCGAATAAGTCGGAGTGGCCCCACCGAAGCTCCCTCTCTTTCTGCCGTGACCCAAGGCTCCACTCGGATTGGTTACCGCATCTCGCACATGGGTTGCTCACGTTGCCCAGAGTGCGCGAACGAGGACGCAAGAGTCGGGATTGAGTATAGCCATGCAACTGTAACTGCATACCCAGCGCAACGCCTATACCCCATTACACTCCGTTAATACCAGTTTTTTTTTTCAACAGTTAAACTTGGCCAGAAAATACTTTTATTTTCGACTTAAAAATATCTGGCCAAGTGTAACTGTTGGAAAAAAGTAACTGTTATTTACGGTCCCTGCTTTTTTTAGTGCCTTCTGTTGCCTTTTTTGCGATTTCAAGTGCCTTTTCCGGCCTATTTCGCTATTTTATTTTGCCTTTTCTAGCCTACTTCCTTATTTGAATTTGCCTTTTTTGTAGGTTTTTAGGTCCTAAAAATCCGTTCCCTGGTTATTAAAAAAAAAAAAAAAACCGAATGCCACTGGATACAAACACCGCAGCCGCAGCGCTAATAACTGGTAGCGCGCAGACATCAATTTTGAACCATTCAACCCTGAGATGACCACATGGAAGCGTTGGGTCAAGTACTTTGAAACCTCCATGAAGCTCTTTAATAGCGACTCGATAAAGAAGACACACCTATTACTGCATTATATGGGTACAACGACGTACAACATCTAGCGTGTTAAAAGTATCGCCAAGGACTCCGGAAGACACTACAAAGCCAAAGGAGATTTCGGAAAAATTATAGATTTCATTTACGAAAGCAGGAGCTGGAGGAAAACTGCAGCCAGTTTTTAATTGCTTTGCGGCGTTAAACGAATGGTGCAATTTTGGGCAGTACCTAGATACCGCATTACGCAACCAATTTGTGTTCGGCTTGCTAAACCAACGTATTCAAAGCAGATTCCTTGAAGAGAAATCGCTAACAGTCGAGAAGGCTGAAAATATGGCATCGGATTTCGAAATGGTTGCACAAGGAGGTATAGAACTGCATCAAAAAATGAGGGGCGGACTTATCAATAAATTACAGTACAAGAAATATGCAAAGAAAGGCAAACAAAAGCAAGGCAAAGAGGAAGAGGCACTGAACACACCTCACGAAAATAGTAAAGAAAGTAAGTGCTTTCGATGTGGTAACATCGCCCACATGGCAAGTCAGTACCCCTACAAAAACGGTTAAAGGTAATAAGATCAACGGAAATAAGGTCAATTGACTTTATATCCCACCCTGGTGCGAAATAAAGTCAATTGACATTATTACCTTTTCAAAAGCGAAATAAAATCCATTGACATTATTGCTCTTTCAAACATTAAGTTTGCTTAGCTTAGTGAGTAAAAATCAATCAATTAACTTACATGATCTCGGTTCCGATTTAAATAATCAATAATTGTTTATACCCGCATTTTGGCACATTGGCTTGAATCTGCCATCTAATAAATAGTGTCGTCGTTCTCCTTAGCTGCTTTTAAATGATGTCGTCACAAATTGCTGGCGGATACATGAATACAGTGTATGAAAATTCCTTTTCTATAATTGTTTCCTTATAGAAAGTTTGGTTTCTTTTCCAATTTAGACATTCCCAATTCGTTCAAAATATACTAATATAAAACACAGAATTCTTTCAGTGTTCCTCCGGGGTTTTTGGACATGGACCTTTTTTTCTCAATTTAATAGTGTTCGCTTTATTTTTGTGGAAATGAAACATGTTTTGCAAGTTCTGAATCATTTCTACACTCTTTCTTCAAACAGCTCTCGTATTTATTCCAGCTGCGTTTTGCGTTTGGGTTTTCGCATCGCGTTTTTACTATATTCGTAATTTAAAATTTTTTAATAAAATCAATTGGTGGTAGTTCATGATTGTGTCTGGATTAATAGCACCACACTGAGGATTTGGCAATAACCTTTTTCATCTATTAAAAAACAACACTTACATGGCAATGTTTATTGTAAGAACAACATTTTTTCGATGAATCGACATACTTTAAGCATTGTTGACGTTATTTCCATTTGAATGAGGAAAAAGCGTCAATGACTTTATTTCCAAATTTTTGTTGACTTTATTTCGCACCAGGGTGGGAAATAAAGTCAATTGATCTTATTTCCGTTAATCTTGTTACCTGTCACGAATTATATTTATAAATTAGGGATTAGGGGCGGTCTGCTATTGCTCAGCCCAAACAATTTGATCTAGGTCCCAACATTTTTTTTTTCCAGATTTTTTTGTTTTATTCGAAATTCATCATTTCGAAAATTTCAGTTTTCTCATTTTTAAATAAAGTTCTTCATGTATGAGTCTTTGGAAATTTACGACGCCATATTGGATTTTGAATTTTCAAAAACTTGTTTGAAATTTGTAATGAGCGAAATTAAGGACCTCTAAATACCAAATTTCATGAAAATTCAGTTTTTTTTTAATTCTTGGACGCCATATTGGATTCGTTATTGAATTTTTGAAAATTTACTTCAGCTTTGTTAAGACACATCTTATTAATGATGTGTCATCACTACTTGATATGATATCACATCTCTGTCTATTTATTATATACTCTGACTTGTACTTGTTCATATTATTCTTGATGTTCATTTGCATTATTCATTTTTGTACGAGTGTAAAATCATTTTATGTATTTCTGTTAAAAGTAGTCGTTAATTTGAGTTCAACGAATAAACAGCCAGCTTGACATCTGTCCGAAGTGACAGACATCAGAAGTGAAAATGGACCTAAATCGATTTAATGTTGCGCAATTAAAAGAGGCCTTAGTGAAGCTTCAGTTGAAGACAAGTGGCACTAAAGCGGAGTTAATTAATCGTCTCCAGGAAGTGGACGCAGATTTGGTGATGCCAGCTTTTGATTCGTTTTCGCAAGCGGGTGCATGTGTTGCACAGGCGAATGAGGCGGATCAGCATAAAAGTGAGGAGCCGTCGAGGGACGACGTAGGAGTCATGACGCAATTGGAGGTGCAGGTTAGTGCGCTGTGTGCCGCTGTGGGACAGCTAACTGCACAGTTGCAGACTCAACGTCCTGTGGAACCAAATGTTCTAGTGCATTCTTCAGCAAATTGGCATCATAGTGCGGCGATTTGTGCGTCGAGCATTTCATCATCGCAGCCCGCAGTTACGCAGGCGCCAGTGGCGTATTTGCCACAAGCAGCAATGGTTAGCAGGTCGCCGTCAGCAATGCTTACGACTNACAGCTAACTGCACAGTTGCAGACTCAACGTCCTGTGGAACCAAATGTTCTAGTGCATTCTTCAGCAAATTGGCATCATAGTGCGGCGATTTGTGCGTCGAGCATTTCATCATCGCAGCCCGCAGTTACGCAGGCGCCAGTGGCGTATTTGCCACAAGCAGCAATGGTTAGCAGGTCGCCGTCAGCAATGCTTACGACTTACACAAGTGCGCTGCCTTCGTTGCAGCAGCCGTTTCCGATTTCACAACAGCAGTCATTTTTGCCGCATACAATCCAGCAAACAACGGCGCCACAAGTATTTTCAACGTGCCAGAGCATGACGAGTGCACAGGCATGGACAACAACGCAAGCAGCAGACGCTTGGTTGACGTTGCCGTATTCGCGATTTGGAGAGAGGTGTGCGGGGAGAGATAGATTCACTCGCACGCCAAGTGAACGAAGCAACGATTCTGCTTGAGTTCAACCCTATTGACAGCACGTATTCATCAACGCAGTTTATTGAGAGAGTCGAGCAACTGAGAGCAATGTATCAATGAGAAGATACGTTTGTTGTTTTTGCGGTTCTCAGTCGGTTGATAGGAGTTGCAAAGCGATGGGCTGATGCGCAGCCAGCATTCCGGGAATGGCACGATTTTGTGGTTGCGTTTCTCACTGACTTTCCGTGCGTTAGAAATTCTGCAGATGCGCATATTCAAATGATGAGTATGAAGATGAATAAAGGCGAGAAGTTAATTGAGTTTTACTACAAGATGTTGGCAATAGGCCGCAGCGAGAATATCGAAGACACTTCGATAGTAAAATACATTTTTAATTGTATAAGTGACCATAGTCTGCGTAAGCCATTAAGTGCTATGAAATTTAGAAAGTGCACAGGTTTGCTGCAATCACTGTCAACCATACCGACAAATAGTGAGAATAGAAATCGAGTGAATGAGACGAACTACAAGAATGCTCAACAGTAATCATCACATGTCTCGGTTGATGCGAATAAGAATTTTAAAAGCTCAGTTGGTCCAATTTGTTATAATTGTAGAGAAAAGGGGCACATCGCAAGACCGAAGAAACGTCGGTGAATAATATAAACGTTGAGAATGTATGNCCTGTGGAACCAAATGTTCTAGTGCATTCTTCAGCAAATTGGCATCATAGTGCGGCGATTTGTGCGTCGAGCATTTCATCATCGCAGCCCGCAGTTACGCAGGCGCCAGTGGCGTATTTGCCACAAGCAGCAATGGTTAGCAGGTCGCCGTCAGCAATGCTTACGACTTACACAAGTGCGCTGCCTTCGTTGCAGCAGCCGTTTCCGATTTCACAACAGCAGTCATTTTTGCCGCATACAATCCAGCAAACAACGGCGCCACAAGTATTTTCAACGTGCCAGAGCATGACGAGTGCACAGGCATGGACAACAACGCAAGCAGCAGACGCTTGGTTGACGTTGCCGTATTCGCGATTTGGAGAGAGGTGTGCGGGGAGAGATAGATTCACTCGCACGCCAAGTGAACGAAGCAACGATTCTGCTTGAGTTCAACCCTATTGACAGCACGTATTCATCAACGCAGTTTATTGAGAGAGTCGAGCAACTGAGAGCAATGTATCAATGAGAAGATACGTTTGTTGTTTTTGCGGTTCTCAGTCGGTTGATAGGAGTTGCAAAGCGATGGGCTGATGCGCAGCCAGCATTCCGGGAATGGCACGATTTTGTGGTTGCGTTTCTCACTGACTTTCCGTGCGTTAGAAATTCTGCAGATGCGCATATTCAAATGATGAGTATGAAGATGAATAAAGGCGAGAAGTTAATTGAGTTTTACTACAAGATGTTGGCAATAGGCCGCAGCGAGAATATCGAAGACACTTCGATAGTAAAATACATTTTTAATTGTATAAGTGACCATAGTCTGCGTAAGCCATTAAGTGCTATGAAATTTAGAAAGTGCACAGATTTGCTGCAATCACTGTCAACCATACCGACAAATAGTGAGAATAGAAATCGAGTGAATGAGACGAACTACAAGAATGCTCAACAGTAATCATCACATGTCTCGGTTGATGCGAATAAGAATTTTAAAAGCTCAGTTGGTCCAATTTGTTATAATTGTAGAGAAAAGGGGCACATCGCAAGACCGAAGAAACGTCGGTGAATAATATAAACGTTGAGAATGTATGTAAAGAGTTGTGTAAACAAAATAGAATTGAAGGTAGAAATGAAGCTGAGTGCAAGGCACTTAAGAGCCATTCACATACAACTTTCCTCGCTTTGCTTGACAGTTCAAACTTTGACAACAAAGCGTGAAACGCAGAAGATATGCTACAATAAACGCTTTGGCAGCTTTTGCGTTCTTCTTTTTCTCCATATTTTTTATCTGTAAAATAGATAGCAATATAATAATATGCATTAATAATAGAAATAAAAATTCCTTATTACCCTATTTTTGTCATTAAATGCAAATGCAAGCGCACGAGAAAACATACATGTAGACAGCTGATTACCAAAGCGGGCAAAAGTTGAGAGTTGCCCAAGTTTTGCTTCGTTTTGCTTTGCTTTGCTTCAAACGTTTTTTATGTCATGCATATGCCTACATCGATCTTATATGTCAAAGCAAAGAACTATGAAGCAAAGCGAAGAAGGTTGTATGTGAATCAGCCTTTATTGACTCAGGTAGTAGCAAATTCCTGGTGAAGCAATCAATTGCAACAAGGTGTGGTTTGTGTGTCAGTGCGTGCAGTGAGGAATTAATCGGTTTTGCAGGTAGTGAACTAGTGTGCCACGGTAAAGCGTTAGCCAACATTAAGATGGATAATGTTACTCGTTCGGCCGAGTTGTTGATTGTTGCTGATTCTGCGATGCCACACGACGCACTTGTTGGGATTGATGTGCTTTCGAAGGGGAAGGTAATTATTGAAGGTGGTACATGCAGAGTAATGTCGGTTGCTAAATGTGTTTTAGATATAGGTAAAGGGCTGAACGAAAGTGTTGAGCAAAAGTTAGTCGAGTTAGTGAACCGGTATGCAGATTATTTTGGCGAAAGGTTACCTGAACTTGGTAGATCTAAGAGGTTCAAGATGAGCATTTAATTAACGGAACAGGGCCCAATTTCAAAAAGGCGTACAACATCCCTATTCCGAAGCAACGTGTTGTGGATGGAATAGTTGGTGAGTTGTTGCAGCTAGGCATAATTCGTAGGTCGAGCTCATGTTATGCATCTAGTGTCGTTCTGGTGCGTAAGCAAAATCGCACGCTTAATGCGATAACGGAGAAGCAGCCGTGGTTAATGCCCACGGTGGATGGTATTCTGGCAACATTGTCCGGTGAGAAGTTTTTCACGACGCTGGACCTTATGTCCGGGTACTACCAAATTGAATTACAAGAAGAAGCAAAGCCTCTTACCGCACTCGTAACGCATAACGGGCATTACGAGTTTTGTAGAATGCCATTCGGGCTGAGGAATGCGCCATGCACATTTCAAAGAATGATGTCACAACTAGCTGCACCGTTGTGCAAAGGAGTGGTTAGTTATGTAGAGGAGGAGAATTTATTCTATTTGGAAGAAATTTTAAAAATAATTCAAGCAGAGGGCTTGACGTTGAGGGTGTCAAAATGTACGTTTTTGAGGCGCAAGGTAACATTTTTAGGTCACCAGGTAGATGTTAATGGTGTAAGACGTGGAATTTTTAAGACGTCAGCTATAGACGCATATCCGACACCATGAAATCAGTTAGAGATAAGAAGATTTTTGGGGTTAACAGGGTTTTTCCGCAAGTTCGTTCCCGGATATGCACTTATCGCTAAGCCGCTCACTCAGTTGACGAAGAAGAACATAAATTTCAATTGGGACTCCAACTGCGAAGAGGCGTTCCAGCTTTTAATTAAGTTAATCGTTAATTCTCCGGTGCTCACAATTTATGACGTTTCGAAGGAACACGAGCTACACACAGATGCTTCAAGTGTGGGTGTAGCTGAAATTTTGCTGCAAATAGAGGCTAACGATTTGAAGCCGATTGCGTACTATAGCCGAGCGTGCACGCCACAAGAGAAGAACTCCCACGCATACGAGCTGGAAGTGCTCGCAGTTGTGGAGGCGTGCGAACGATTTAAAATGTTCTTGCTAGGGAAGCGTTTTAGAGTCATTACTGATTGTCAGGCGATGACAACCGCGAAAATTTCAAAGCCAATGGTGCCGACGGTAGCACGCTGGCTCCTTAAGCTGTTAAGCCTGTTAAAGATGTTGGGGCCAAGGTACTGTCTCTGTCGATGGACGATTGGGTATGTACGATGCAGAGCCAAGACGCAAAGCTGAAAGAGGCCATCGAAATGCTGCTGAATGGCAACAGTGGCGTACAACAATCCAATGTTAGCAGCGAGTACTGCTTAAAGAATAATCGACTATTTCGTAAAGTTGACAACGGCCGCCATCTGTAAGTCGTCCCGAAGGGAATGCGTTGGCGTGTACTTAAGTTATGCCATGACGATGTAGGCCACCAAGGGGTAGATGGCACTATAAAGCGAGTTCTATAAAACTTCTGGTTTCCTCGACTAAGAAACTTCGCGAAATGTTTTTTAAAATCCTGTATCGATTGTTGTTACAATCGAGAGCCGCAGCGCAAGGATGGACATCCCTGAGTTGCCGTTTCGAATACTACATTTGGATCACCTTGGTCCATTCGTCAAAAGTCGACGAGGCCACGAATATGTCCTTGTGATCGTCTACGCACTAACGAGATACGTTGTTGTTGCTCCAACCAGATCAACGAAAACCAAGCCGGTAATTAACGCACTTGACAGCTTGTCCCTGAACTTCGTACGAGTGTAAAATCATGTTATGTATTTCTGGTAAAAGTAGTCGTTAATTTGAGTTCAACGAATAAACAGCCAGCTTGACATCTGTCGGAAGTGACAGATGTGATGTTAAATATAGAATTGAGTCGATTGGAAAAACTCAATAATTCCTGAAGATGCCTTCAGTTTGAAGGCGAAACATCGACATCAATAAATGTAATAAATAAAACT